TAATCTAAATAAGGTTATTTCTAGATTAACCAGGGCGTTTACTAGAAATTTTAATCACACTGTTTTTAGAGTGTGGTCAAACAAGAATGAGAGTTAATGAGAGTCACGAATTGTTATACAGCGGACATTTCAAGCTCTAGATTAACAAAATATATAAATTTTTGATAAGTTTTTCAAAAAATGCATGATAGTGTTGGGAAAGTCATGAAAACAACTGACCATACATCGTGTGACTGCCAACTGTCATGCACTCCCATCCTCGTAAATTTGTCCCTTTATTCCAAGTGATGTTTTCCCAGACTTTTGTTGTTTTCATGCTTTGGACCTTTTTTCTACTTCGATCTTGAGCGCGTGTTAGGTACCATATGAAACAATCTCCTCTTATTAATATGCTTTTCTACATTTAGGTGGAAGCTGTGTAATTTCACTCCGATAATGGCAAGTGGATATAATCGGCGCAACACTGGTTTTCCACGCCAGTCACGTGGATATGCCAGAGGCGGAGGAGGCCGTGGAAGGGGAAGACGAAATTTTTACGGCGGAGACCGATCGGGTCATTCAGGCGGTAACGTCAGGTTTGGTTTCAATTCATTACAAAAACTTCGAGAATCAGATCCAGATGATATTGTTCTGGATTTAGCTTCCGAGCGATGTCTTCCGGCGTTTCGAGAACTATTGGGAAAGACGGACATGTCAGATGAAATGATCGAGCTCGTTTTGGAAGTGCTTGCCATAGCATGCGATAGTAATAGTCCTGAATATTTCAATAAACTTCTTGTCGAACTGCCCAAGTCATTATTTGTTATGATAAGTTTAAAAGGCTATGTAACACGATTGTGTATGGGGAGAAAGTCTAACCCTCAGTTGTTCATTGAGCGTACTGTAAAACTATTCACCAACATCCTCAATAGAATACCAAGTGCATTTGTCTCTCTTCCTTTGGGAGACTTAGAACTAGCTGTTGATATGTTAGCTAGGACGAGACAAGTTAGCGCCGTTGTTATTCAGAGTGTAGAACAACTTAAAGTCATCAAACAAGAATCCTTGGAAAAGGAAATACGCAAGAGAGAGCTTGAAAATCAACGAAGAACACGGAGTCGTAATGCAGGTTTGAGATCCATTATGTAAATTCTATATATAGTCCAGCGGATCTGCATTGCCATTGGTATATATTGGTAAAATCATGCATTTTATGAAGAAAGCACCAAATTTGGCACGAAATGATTTGAACACTGCACTTTGCATTACGACTTTAATAGTGTCTGTTTATGTCGATTAATGTTTACTGTTTGTAGTTCATTCAATACCATATTAAAGGTCAAAAATCGGACAAAAATGTCCATTCCGGTCAGGTGAGGTGAGATAAAGCCTCCATATGGAAAATCTAGCGCGCAGAAGGTGACATCTCACCTAACCGGCCTGGTTATAACTTGTTAGACATCTGTCTTCAGCCGCATATCTATGTGCGCTAAACGCAAGCTATTTTCAAAAACGAGCAACTGGACAATAAACTTGTTTGTCCAAGATCAATTCAATGCCAAAGTTTCAAATTGAATTTTATAAGCGTTATCAAAAGGTATGCAGATCTCCCTCAGGTGATTTTCCGGTTAGCTGCGCTCATATGAACCGGCAGTGAGTGTGTTTTTTTTATGAAGCTGATTCCAACACAGCCAAGCGGGGTCTTCGGAACGAGAAATTGCCATGTTCTCACTCCTTTCTGTGCAGGTGGGATGTATTTGCCTTCTCATGGGCACGCGTAAGTGCCATTTCTGCCGTCAAAATATGACGTCAAGCACTCGAATAGCTTCAACGTTTTTTGTTCCGTCATTGTTTTTGACCATATAAATACGCCATCGCGACTGAGTTAGTATCCCAGCTGGGCAGGTTAAAAACACCCCGCCCAGCTGGGGTCATATATATTGGCCCTTATTTCTTTCATATACGTCTAAACTGATTTCTTTTCATTTAAAGAGATTGAAGAAGTCGGACCCCCTCCTGAAGATTTTAGAGAAATGTCAATCATTCCTCACCGCGATGACATCTTCATTGAAAAGAAGCCTTATCTTCGAAAGAACATCATCCAAGGAGGCTACCAGAACCTGGATCATTACTTGGACGTGCAATTTCGGCTACTGCGTGAGGATTTTCTTCGCCCGTTGAGAGAGGGTATTATAAACCTGGTTAATCATGGAATTGATCAGCAGCAAGGCGTGTTCAAAGATATTCGCATGTACAGAAATGTCAAGATTCTGTATCCCGTGTGTTCAAACTCAGGTCTGCGTCATCACATTCAATTCGATAACTCAAGGTTGAGACGCGTCAAATGGGAAAACAGCAAACGACTTATATTTGGCTCACTCCTCTGTCTGTCCAAAGACCATTTCCAGACCTTTGTATTTGCAACTGTGGCCGACAGGGACCCGAAGGAACTAGCATACGTAAGTTTTAATCCCAGTTTATCGGATCAATATTATTTGATTAATTTTGGCAGAAGCAGATGTACATAACATCATTACACTGTGAAAGCTAACAAATCTTTTGCAAACACATTTTTGAGTCGGATAGCAATATTGGTCAAGCTCTAGTCTTTCACATGCAGCGTGATATTGATTGTGTTTCTAAACAGCAATAAAAAACTCATAACAAAATCGCTCCCCAGTTTAACCACACAAAGTTGACATAAAAGTTGATTTTCTTGAACACGACTTGGCCGCTCGAAGCGAACACGACTCGGCGACAAAAACATTAGCAAGCGACTTCTTTTATGTTGATCACGCGGTCGGCAAGTGGCAAAACGCGTAGCCGAGGTCCCTGATTGCCTTAACTATACACACGTAAAAACGCACAAGTTGTAACAAGTCTGCAAACAAGTTGTTACAAATTTGTTCACAAGCTGTCAACAAGTTGTGTTCGCACTGCTTGTTCCTACTTTGTTGTAACAAGTTCGAAACAAGCTGTTAACAACTTGTAACAAGCTTGATGGCATTATCGGCCTTGTTACAAGACTGTGCTAACAAGTTTGTTACAGCCATGATATAACGAGGATGTTGCAAGGTTGTCAACACGAGGTTGTAACAATCTTGTTATATCAAGCATGGCACAGACTTGTCAGAACAACCTTGCAACATGCACAACTCTGATAATTTCGACAAGGTTGTTACAAGTTGTCAACAAGTTGTTCCAAACCTGTTGACAACTTGCGACAAGCAGTGCGAATACATCTTGTTGACGGCTTGCTGGCAGACTTGTTACAAGATGTGAGATTTTTACGTGTGTAGTTGGAGTTATATGGTTTCACCCAATTATATAGTCCCTATTAAAAATTGAAGGCCATTATGTGGGTTATGTGCAAATTAGTACGAGACGTTGTGACCATTTTGTCGTCATTATTTTCCAGTACAGTATAAACCCTACCACATACGCAAAAGGTATATCCACCAACCAATGTGCCACATTATACCCAATACAATTAACACAAATTATAAATTTCCCATGACAGGGTAAACTTACGGTGCAGTTCATGGACTTAACAATTGACTTACAAGATTTTTCACGCAAGAACGTCTACGAAATGGTCGAAACAACGGCATATTTTGAAGCTTATAATCCTATCTTAGAAGGATTACAGCAAACCAAAGACGAGGACTTGCCATTTCAGGTGGGTATAATTATGGAGAATATCAAACTTGAAGGTATAATAAAGTTATCAAAAGTAAAGGAAGCTCCGGACGTGTATGCATGTAAGCACCGTTGCACGCCAATCTCCTCCGACAGCCACAGACAACTCTATGGCAAAAAAAACTATTTATTTTATACCTAAAGGTCGAGTAATACGGGCAACAAAATTGCTGCAACTTGTGACAAAATCTGATTTCTACGCATGTTAATTGAAAATGTTTGCACATACATGTGTCAACATTCCTATTTAACATGCGTTGAAATCAGATTTTGTTGCAACTTGCAGCAGTTTTGTTGCTCGTATTACTCCAGCTTAATTTACCATAACTTATAACTGTACGGCAGTCGGAATGACTCTCAATTTTAGTATTAATAGCGTTGTCAATGATATCTTTTGTGGGTTGTAAAAGCTATAGAATTACTTGAAAAAGTGCAATTATGGGCTATTTTATCAATTTTATGATGGGCTATGGTCAGAGGAACATACTTCTTGGCTTTTGACCAATACATGTAAAAATAAGCTAAAACACGAAAACGATGCTGAGGGGCCACTAAGAGGAACCATGGCCCCTCAACCTCGTTTTCATGTTTAATTTAAGCTTATTTCCACATTTAATAGTCAAAATCCAAAATTCTTTTTTATGCATGTGCTGTCGAAGAATGTTCTGCTTCTTTAACCTATGGCTCGTGAGAAACAAACTTGAAATCTATTCCATTTAAGGTAGTCCTAATTTGAAAACAGTGACGTAATTACTGGAAAGGTCTATTCGCCTCCATATGCAAGTCACATACAGCTACTGACCAAAACCGAATATGAAGCAATTTTTTTTTAGCATTTTCTTCAATTTAATGCCTGAAACATTCTCGTACCCAGAAGCCTTCTTACGTGCAGTCAAAGGAGCGCGACGAGGGGCTCTGGCAAAATCCAAACTGGATACCATGAAAACATGGTATCCGGTTAAACACTGCACATGCTCAATAATCGGAACTCAATAACCAGTGTTTGATCGGATACCATGTTTTTATCGTATCCGGTTTGGATTTTGCCAGAACCCTTCGTCACTCTCCGTTGACCACGCGTAAGACAGGCACTGCATACGAGAATGGTGCCTGAAAATGCAGAAAATAGTATTTCCTATAGCCTCAAGTTTTCAAATATTTCCGAGGGACCATGCCCCAGGCCCCCTATATTTCAGCCGTCCTGACTACAAATTTCTGCTGTGACCTGAATTCGATCATATTTTGCTTGCCATGTTTGCATGTACTTAGCTGAAAACAAAGGTACTTAGCGTAGTTGGAAATTAGCAGCCTTAAAAAAGATGAGATTTTACTTTTTATAGCGATATTATTAGTGTCTTCGTTTGTACCTTTGTTCATACCTTACAGTGTCCCAGATTGTTTGTCAATTATATTGGCCCATATTAATGAGTTTTGTTTCTGTTTCTGCAAAGGAAACATTTTTACAAAATAGCAACGTTTTATTTTGTCTTATGAGCGGGTGGAATTTTACGATATCTTGGGTTTATGCGCGATATACCAAGTCACGGGTGACGTCACAAGTCAAGAGTGACGTCACACCAATAGGAGATAATGGAATTATATCATTTCGTTTTGTTCTTTGTTTTTTAAATAATACTAGTTTTAGCTACCTATTTGTTTTGGATCGTCAGGCTTTTTGGCTGGTGCATTTGGATCGTTTCCTTTTTGTAGATCATTCGGATCACTTGCTTCTTGGCTGGTGCATTTGGATCATTTGCTTTTGTGGATCATTTGGATCATTTGCTTTTTGTGGATCATTTGGATCATTTGCTTTTTGTGGATCATTTTAG